CTGGGAGCAACAATGGGATATTCCGACAAAACGCTGACAAGGATCATACAAGGAGTCCTGAGCTGCCCCGATCAAACAAAATTAGAATGTAAAGTCGAGGGACATGTGTAAGGGTGTTCCAGATGAAGTTAACTTCACTCTTAGTTTATATTCAAATGTGAAACTCAAAAGATACAAAACTAAACTTTGTAAACATTGATGTACAATAAAAGTAGGGAAAACTTATGTTTCATTTGCCAAAACCGCAAGGGCTGTGTCTTCCCATATGAGCCCAGATCTCTAGCCAGATCTCGGCGGACTCTCCATTCATTGGGTCTGGAGATCCGAAGGCGAAGCTGAAGCTGCAGTCTGAAGATCGCCTTCTCTGTCTGGCCGGCCGGCACTTCATTTTGTGGGATCGTCCGACCGCCTGACTGGCTGTTCGAGCCCGGCTCCTCGAATTTTGGAATTTGTTCAGCCTTGTTAAGAGTTGTTAAGATTATGATATATGTATGGGATGGCGGCGAGTGTGTGTCGGTGTGCTGGCGGAGATCGGGAGACTGGGGCACTGCGGGAGCGGGCCGGGCGGATCCGGCAGAGCCATCCAGCAAGACGACGACAGCGGCAGCCATTATGATTCACAGCAGGAATGTGGGAAACGGCTGCCTGACCATTTTATTTTTTCCTCGATTTTTGGGTCTCGACGGCGGAGGAGCCACACCACACAGATACTCACGCACACTGCGACAGTTGCATTTACCACATAATCGATTCATGCATGTGGCAAGTTAAGAATTTCTTTCATGTTGCGTTCTCGTTGTTAGTTTCTGTAGTCGTTTTTCCCTCTCATTTTTTCCTTATGATTTGTTTGAGCCGCATCTTTTCGGACCACCCGTGAAATCACTTTGGGTTACCAGTTTCTGGCTGGGAGTCCGACTTCTCGTTTCCCCTGTACTTTTGGTTTTTTCTGCTTTTTTTTTATTTTTTTGTGGAGTCTCTTGGACTTTTTTGGGTCTTGGGCTTTTGTTAAATTGCTCTTGTTTATGTTAACATTTAAATTGTGGCCACGGGTAGTCTGGATAGTAACCCAACCCCGGCTGCCCAACCAAAACCAATATTTAAACTCAACGCTCCATGAATAATCATCGCCATCGTCATCGTCATCATCTCTTCTGCGGCCTTTCAGCGGGGCCATCAATTCTGATTTACCAAAAGTGTTAATTAGGCCTCGGATCGCTTTTTTCTTCTCCATATTTTTCTCATTTTTTTGTATTTGTTTGCCGCTTATCTCGGGAAACTTCCTACAGTGGTCTGGAAATATTTTCTGGTTGGAAATATTTTCAGATCGAGCTTTTATTTTTTCTTGCGCCGAATTTCGGTACACAAATACCTTTAAATTTGGGAAAACCATAACGATCACAACATGAATTACTTTCGTACATTGGAAACATGTGGGATATAATGATATAAACATTACTATTTTTGTACAATCTTCCTGTCTTGTAGAAGCAATGGTGGTTGTTAGCTTCTTAATTACAACTTATTTCTATAATTTTAAATCGCTCAATGAGGTACTTACAACATTTATTTCCCGGACACTTATTTTTCCCACTTGTTAGAACTTTCATTTACATATAAGGTCCATTATCTTCTTTTGCGAAACCAAACCGAAGCGAAGATGGGCTTTCAGGGATAATTTAACGCTCTTCTTTGATGGACCTGCCTGCCTGCCCGTCTCCCAAGGAAGCGACATTCAATCAGAGCTGCAGAGCTTCGAAAAAATCCGCTGAGTGCTCCAGTGCGCTGGCCCGACCATCGACAGCGACAACGCAACGACGACTCGCCTCGGTCCATTCATAGTTGGTCAGGGATAGTGCTAATTGCTGGGTGCTGTCCCTGCCAGCTTCTGCGCCTGTCCCCAAGTGCCGCGCATAGTTGTCGCCCCATAATTGTGGCACCGCCGCCGAAGGCAGCGGGCATCCAGCCGGGATGGCTGGGCCATCATCGCCTCAGCCGTTGACTGGTTGTCTGTCAGCTGTCCATCAAAGCGTTGCCAAGTTGGTGTTAATGGGTGCCTAGAATGCGAGTGCCCCTGCCCGCCGCCCAGCTCCCATTCCAGCAGCGCCCGACACCAGCTCCCTGGGCTTGTTGTACACGAGGCTACGCATGTTTTTGCTTGTTGTCCTTCGGGGATTAAGCGTCAGGTTGGAGTAATTGCCGAGTGCTGAGCTCTGCCGTTGCGTTCGTTCGCTTGCTTCTCTTTTTTGCCTGGCATTTAATTTATTTTTGGATATGCTTAAAGTAAACGAAAGAAGCCACACAGACACACATGCACATGCACCCAAAACCCGGTCCACTCCGCTCAGCAGCAATGGAATCGGAGCAGCCGCTCCTAACTCGTCGCAGTCGGCGACTGGATCTCGCCGCCCAAGGCGGAAAGCTCCTTGAGGAACTGCTTCGCGTTGGTCAGCGTGGAAGCGCCATAAATGATCCGCCTTTGCACATTGGACGTTTGCTTCTGTTTGATGAAGTCCACCAGATTCTGGTACTCGATGTAGTTGCCTCCGCCGACCATAAACACCACGGCGTCCTGGAATGGAGCCCGGTTTTTGGGCAGGACGTCGCCTCCTTTGAGCAGCTTGGGATCCAGATACAGGTAGTCATCCGTTTCCGCATTGCTGCGGCACTCCATCACCTGCTCGGTGATCTTGGTCACGGGAAGATTCTGCAAGGTATTTAGATATTGAACGCGACTTTATATTTGGAAGGAAAAAACCTACATGTCGCTTAACCACCAGATTCTTGACGCCCTCCATCACGAAGGAGCTGCCCTGTGAGACGAGCTTAGTGAACATGGACACAGTCTTGGTGCCGCCACCCTCGTACTGTGTGGCTTGGCTGATGCTCGGCGATCGGTTCATGATTCCCTTCCAGCGCTGCACGTACGCTAGAGCAGTAAGATCACAACCGGCTGCCTGCAGCGCCTCCTTGAGCCGCTCCTGCTCCGATTCTGGTAACTGCTGGGCACAGATGAAGTAGATGATGTACAGGCGCAGCTTGTCCTCCGCCTGGCCAAACTCTCCATCCCGCAACAGGTCCAGCAGCGGTCTGTCCAGTGTCTGCTTGGACATGACCTTCTCCTCGATCTCAAAAAACGAATCCAGTCGGCGAGCCTTAATGAAGTTCAGGATTGCAGTGGCGATCTTGGTGTGCATGTCGATCAGACGCTTCTTCTCCATCAGTTGGGGCAGCGAATTGACGGCATTGGTGAGCCTGGCCGTGGTGTCGTTGACCAGAGAGAATGCAATGTCCGACTCGCCCTCGATACCCATCGATGTCTTCAAGCGCTTGATCTCCTCCTCGGAGTTCCGATAGGACTCCAGCTCCTCCTGGATGGCTTCGGCCACTGTGGGGAACGGACTGCCCTTGTGCGTCATCCAGAAGCGGTCGTTGCGGTCCAAATCGCATGCCTTGGGCTTCTTGCGGGCTCCTAGAAAATAGGAAAACCATGGTTGATGAGTGTCATCCATTCAGGTCTTGATCATAAGCAATGTTACTTGCCCGCACTAGCCGTCTCATCCTCCACGTAGACCAGATTAAGACCCAAATCCAGGACATCGTGCACCAGCGCCTGATACGACCAGGTGTGATGGAGCGGTGTTGCTAGATCCATGTTTCTGTCCAGCAGCAGGAGCACAGGTCTCTGAAAGCTGAACACTCCGCCGCCGGCCTGCGTGGCATCCATGTGGAACAAATTGGCACGCGCATCCCAGAGGTTTTCGCGCAGCTTCTTCTCCAGCTTGCGGGCCACCATTTCAGCGGCACTGTTCCGCGGACAGCGGATGATGGGCACATTGCCCAGGGTCACAAACAGGGCGAAGAGGGAGTCGACAATGGAGTCCATCAGGGCCTCCATCTCCTCATCGCGGGTGTTGGCCCGGTTAATGGCGTAGTAAGAAAGCTGGTCGCTTTGCTGGTGCTTTAGGATGAAGAAGTCATCCTCCAGACTGATGAAATTCACATACTGATCGTAAACGCGATGGATGTTGGCCACGCAACCGGCATGCAGGGCTGCGGCGGCTAGATTCTCGATTTTGCTGCGCGTGATGGGCGCCAGGAAGTTCAGGTGGTACACGTCGTATAGTCCGTTTGAGAAGTCCTGCTGAATCCTGTCCAGATTCTCATCGGTGGGCAGGCAGAAGTATATAGCCGGCACATCCGGAATGGAGTCGCGATCCGAGTGGAGTTGCCTGCAGCATACTAATACATAAATTCCTGGATTCCTGGAGCATCTGGCACAACTTACACATGCAGGGTCACGCCCAATTCGCGCAGCTCCTTGATGGAAATAATGGGCGATATGATGTCCTGGCCAACGCGATCGTAGATGAGGATCTTCCACACGGGCTCCGCAGCTAGGGCTTTCGGCTGCTGCGAGTTCAGATTAAGCATCTGCTTAATGGCATCTGCAATGATTAATAGGAAAAGCAATTAATTAATTAGGCTTTCCCCTCAACGGAGCTATTGTTTTCAAAGTTTCTCACTGATTTGGCGCTCCCGCAGGGTCAGCATTTTATGGTCCGTCTTTTGCCTGTCGTTCTGAGTTGGCTTGAGTGGATTTTTAGCAACCTATGTCCCTTTTAGTAGCTAAAAAACATAGTTTACAAAAAAACAACACGTCACAAGCGACTGCGAGGCAACGCGTTTTGGCCAATTTTAGTGCATAGTGCAGGCAACAGCTGTGGGGTTAGTGCGACCGTATGCAGTGAAAATTCCAAGAAGAGTATTTAAATACTAAAGTAACTGAATGTGAAATTGAATATGTTTATACGTAGTTTAGTTCATAATGGTTCTTTCTTAAGCGTAGCAAGATGCTGGAGCGATATTAATGTAATATTATATATCTATAAATATGTGTGCCAGTGTAATGCAGCTATATTCGTCTGGTATATTTCGTACAATCCAAATTTGGTGGCCCTAGTTCCAGAAAGTTGGCCGCCCTTTTCGGGATTTCCGCACGGTCACACCTGTCAGCTGATTTCGAAAAGTCACCTTCCAGTGAGTTTCCCCATTTTTCGTCAGTTATTTTCCTTTCGTCGACGCGAGCGGTTCGTTGCTTCGTGTGGTTTTATTTACAAATAACAGTTAGTGTCGCATTGCATCGCATCGGAATGATCATGAAAGCGGAGCATCCGCACCAGCATTTCGCAACTGCCGCGAATGCAGCACGCCAGGCGCAGATCCGCTGGCGAGTTACGCATTTTAAGGCGCTGAGCCGCATAAGAACACCATCGCAGGGCTATTGCTGCGGTCGCGTCGTTAGTAAAAATCACTTTTTCAAGCACAGTCGCGCTTTTCTGTGGTTCCTGCTCTGCAACCTAGTGATGGGCGTGGACCGCGCCCACTCCCAGCTGCTCATTAACGTCCAGAATCAGGTGCGAAATCACAAAAATCACTTAAATTCCAAAAACGCAAAACACAGCAACAACAAACAGTGACGCTGGCAGCGCTGCCCATCTGGTTTTCGAACATCTCATTTCGAAAATGAGCGCGCCAAAACAAAACAATTTAAAAGACGAGAGAACGAGAGAGCGAAAGAGAGGTGCCTAAGATAAATAAACAAATCTGCCAGAACATTTTAGTGGATTAATATTAAAAAGATAATAATCAATGACAGTAATGACTTTTAGGCAGCCCAATTGTAATGTTGACATGTAGCTGTCATTATGTGTGACACTAGCATATGTTAGAATTTAACGAGTCTTTGCAAAATACCGTAATGTATTTTTAGAATCGGCAAAGATTAGTTAATTATATTACAAGAACAATTTAATTTGGTGATAGATAGATAGATAGCAATGCTTAGTTCGATGTTAAGTAGACACAGGTCCTGGGTTGTTCACTTTCCCTGACAAATTTCAAGGATCGCACACAAGCCTAATTTGAATACTAATTTGAATACACTGCGCACCCTGATTAGGTTTTCCCATTTAGATTCGTGCAGCTCAGGTGCACAACAAATCAAGTCCCCTATTGATTTATGCAAAATATAGGATTGTCCGAATGGGAACGTGTTCCGTGCTGGCGATATCTAATTAGTGGACTGCTAAGTAGGCCAGATAATCCATCGATGTCTGATGACCATAGAACACAGCTCAGTTCTTCATGCGTGCAACACCATATATGTACATACATATGTACATATGTGCATTTATGTACATATTTACATAACTAGGTGCAGTTCAATGTCAGTATTGAAACTTTCACTTGCCTGACGTTTCGTTTTTCCACTTAAATATTAGTTGGCTTTGTTTGACTGGCTCAATATTGACACTTTGCTTTCGGCTTTTCCATAAATTTTAGATTAGTTGGCCGAAAAAGCACCGGGCTTCAAATGAAGGCAGCCTCTCTCTCTCTCTGTCTCCTTCTCTTGCCCTTTCGCTATCTCACTTGCACACAGCGTATTTTCGTACATCTTTGTTTACATGTGACATCCTTTATTGTTCTCTGCGCTCTGTCCCTGGCCCCAAAATGTCCTGGCGGCTCTCTTCCCTCGCTCCTCGCTCCTCCATCCCCCATCCTTCCTCCTCTCCTCCCACCTCTCTCGGTTATTCTTTGTTTACATGCGCCTTTGTGCAAACACACGGAAAACAGCAGCAACAAGAAAACACCAGGAAGTGTAGGTGTTACGTGGGTCGACACGCGAAATACCCTGGGAAACCCACTTCTTAGTAGTTCCATCCCATAATCAGTCGTAATTCCTTGCCATCTACTGAAGGACATCAGAATTAAACCAAAAACAAATGCATTTACTACCACAAATACAGACTTACCATTACTGAATCAATATAATTGATTTGTTATTTGCTCATGAAGAGAATGGTCTCTTATTTAGCCACATAAAGACTTAATACTTTCACTTAAAAACTATTAAACAAACTTTTATCCAAATTCGTAATAGTCTAGACCAGGGTATCCTAACAAAAACAACACCCACATTCAACAAAATTTGTTCGTGTACACGTGTAGAGGGCAAATAGTGCTGTTGCTGTTGTTGTTGAACTACATTTCGAGATGTTGTGGGAGGAGGAGTTGGCTCCCGACCCCCTCCCCATCCCCATCCTCATCCCTATCCTTTCCCTTTCCAGACCCCAACCCACTCATCTCCTTTTCGTTTTCGTTGGCACCCGCCAACGCCGCCATGTTTTCCTTTTTTCTATTTTTCAACTCTCTTGACTCTAATTTGGTTCATGGCCGCCCAGCTTCAGGAGCTGTCATAGTTAATTTAAGTCCTGACAAGCTAAGGAACCCCTCTGCATCATCTCGTGACTGCCTTTGTGCCGTATTAATATTTTAGCTGGCTAGGGGAGGAATGCCGAGAATGTAATTTAACACTTGTTGCTCTCTAATCCGTTTCATTTCCGGTTTTCTTATTTTTTGCAGGGCGGCGAGGTGATCCAGGAGAGTATTACCTCCAACATCAACGAGGACCTGATAACGCTGGAGTTTCAGAAGACCGACGGAACGCTCATCACCCAGGTCATCGACTTTCGCAATGTGAGTTCAGAATCCGAGGCTCTGGAGAGCATGGTCACATCCGAAATTTAAATTGAAACACTCTTATACATCTTCCCCGCAGGAGGTTCAAATCCTCAAGGCCTTGGTTCTCGGCGAGGAGGAGCGTGGCCAGAGCCAGTACCAGGTCATGTGCTTCGCCACCAAGTTCAACAAGGGCGATTTCATCTCCTCGGCGGCAATGGCCAAGCTGCGCCAGAAGAATCCTCACACCATCCGCACTCCCGAGGAGGACAAGGGCCGCGAGACCTTCACCATGAGCAGCTGGGTGCAGCTCAACCGCTCCCTGCCCATCACGAGGCATCTGCAGGGACTCTGCGCCGAGGCCATGGACGCCACCTACGTCCGGGATGTGGACCTTAAAGCTTGGGCGGAGCTGCCAGGTGAGTGCTTCTTTGGGGATGTTCGTTGCGTGGCATTGGTTAATATTTAAATGGAATTCCCCGATAAGTACAATTTTTTCGAATGTTCATCCGCGGGGGTTTCTGCCAACTTTTAAATTTATTTGCCATTCCACAATTCAATTTTTGTGAGAATATTAAAACCGCTTGTGCTTCTGATTATTTAACGTTCGACATATAAAAAGTTATTGCGTGCACTGTGCAATATGGCTGAAGTTTGGCACAAACAACATTAATGAAACGAGTGCATATACGCAGTACTGAGCGAGTTAAAGCATTCATTTCCAGTTTTAAGTGCCTTTAAATTGAAATAGCATTCGAAAGATATTTATAAGCGAAAACGAAAACATTCGAGAATGTTAGCCAAAAGTTAGGACTTAAGTTAGGGAAATCTTGCTAGAAATCCAGCTGGAAAGTGAAGGAAAACTTCAGTACAGATATCGACCAGTTCTGGGGGTATTTTGGGGCCACTTTGAAACTTTTTGTTTACGTTTTTGTTTCGCTTTCCGTTCGCTGTACCCCTGCGTCCGGCAGGCTCCTCGATTTCCAGCCTGGAGGCGGCCACCGAGAAGTTCCCGGACACGCTCTCGACGCGCTGCAACGAGGTGAGCAGCCTGTGGGCGCCCTGCCTGTGCAACCTGGAGACCTGCATCGGCTGGTATCCCTGCGGACTCAAGTACTGCAAGGGCAAGGGAGTTGCCGGAGCGGACTCGTCGGGCGCCCAGCAGCAGGCACAGCCAACGAATTATCGCTGCGGCATCAAGACCTGCCGCAAGTGCACACAGTTCACCTATTATGTGCGGCAGAAACAACAGTGCCTCTGGGATGAATGACGACGCGGCGAGCTGCAGCTGATGCAGATGCGCTGCGCCAGGCGGCGGAATGGGAGCGTGGTTGAGGATGATGCCAGTGCCACCTGCCCGGGTGGCGAAACAAGAGCAGCTACCACGACGGCGACAATAACTGGCGGGGCAGCTGGGGGAAGTGGGCAGGATACAACGGCAGCGACAACAACGACGACCAACAAATTACGCCAACTGCTCTTGTTGGTCCAGCAGCAGATGCCTTTTGCTCTGTGGAGTTTTCCGGTCCATCACATTTCCCAGCCCCAGTCGCCGCCCCATTCCCAGCCCCAATCCCAATCCCAGTCCCAATATCAGCCCAGCATAAGGAAGCAGCAGCAGCAGCAGCATCAGCATCATTCTCAGGTTGCCCCCACTTCACATCACCAGTCATCACCATCATCATCATCGCCGTCGTCGTCGTCGTCGTCCGCCGCAATGGCCGCCATCGTTGCGTGATAATGAACGCTTGAAAAACCCAACTTCCCCAATCCACTACACGTCCAGGAAAAAAACGAGTGCTGACACTTTTTCCGCTCACGATTGAAGATTCTGGACGCGGACATTCGAATGCAAGCCACTGGGTGGAGGTTATGCTACAGCAAAAAAGGAGTAAAGCGAAATAAATGTAAAAATGTGCTTCTGTATACTATGTATATATATGTATATTTAACGATGATTAGCTTTTAGCCAGCTCACGTTTTACGCTTATGCCGGATTTCGTTTTAGACCTAGATTAGGTGTCCTTATTCAATTTAATCCTAAGAGCGCTCGCTGAATTAAAGGTTAAGCACTTTTGAGGCATAGTTCTTTGCCGTCTAATCCTTTCATACAATTTGATCCTTTATAAAATGTTTTACGTTTTCTAAGACATAGCTTTACAACCTAAAACTTATTGATTCACCTATAGTGCAGCACATTTCCTGTAATTATCTATCACTCCTTAGATCTTTCTTAACTTCTTCCAAGGCATTTGAGAATTTATAGCAATTTTTCCTCCCAGCTTTCTTTGCTTACTCACCTTTCAAGCCCACTTTCAATTTGTTTACTCTGCCCGTTCACTCCATACTTTTTCATCCACATTGTGTGCAGCAATTTCGTTTCAATTACCCTTTCAGAGCGCTTTATATTTCCTTTGTTTGCCTTTATCTCCACTTCACTTACCTTAACTGAAGCCTGATTAGATGTATTAAGATTGTTGGACACAATATCACGTTCCACGCCCTCTCCACTCGTGTTGCGTTGAGCTCAAGAATATAAATATAAAAATAAATAGGTATAGAAGTATAAATAAATTAAATGTGGCCTTAGCATGTTTTACGAGCGGTAGAAAAAGGACATTAATTGAACTAAGGAATATGTCAGGCGTTGGCAAAACTCGGAATTAATTGTGCTCATAATAGTTGTAACAGAAAAACCACAAGAATAAGATATATTGCCATTTGGGGGATGGTGAATGTGGACTAACCAAAACGACTGCCGCATAAAAAGCTTTTGTATCTTACCACTCGAAAATGGCTGTTTGAGATTCCCCATCCCGTTTCTTTCCTCCTAATCTTTCCCTCTAAATCTAAACCTTAATAACTAGACCGTAAACACGCCTGCCTTTTTGCCTTTGACTTGTAACCTTTTCCACTTTGTATTCGAAACAAATGAAATACCTTACGATGGCAAAACCTTAAGCAAATTGATTGATACCAATAATAAACAATACCAAGAACAATAATCTATTGTATAAATTTCAAGAACCTAGTCTACTTAGAGTGTTAGAATGGCATATTTTCCTAAAAGCGTACTACAAACAAAAAAAAAAAATCAAACCAAACCATAAGTCGTAAACCAGTTTCGACAACAAGAAAAACCAACGGTGATAATAATTTTTCTACGATATAGGAAGACAGCTCCTTTGACTCACTGTATAAAATGTAATGGAAACGAATTGATCAAGTGTAAAAATTGATTAGAATTACTAAGCATTTAAAACTGGTAAGACTCGATGATCTGAATTGTGTAAAGAGCATTTGCCAATATTAACGATTAATCGCCTAGTCCTAACTAAGAAATTGAAATTAATAATTAGTCTTAATACAAATGCTGACGAATTCTACGTTTTATAAAAAAAAAACAAAAACAGTAATGAACAAATTACACATCGACTTTTATTGTGAATGGAATTTCTGTTTCAGGCTTGTTTGCATTGATTTCGACTGCATTCGATGGAAAGCCCAGCGTGGCAATGCATTTTCCTAATCTTTGGAGGGCTCCCCGAATGGCCAACCTCTCGAATGCATTAAAATGCCCGGCATGCTGTGCGTTGTTTGCCCAGCTCCTCACGGCTCCTCCGCCAGGACCAGGATCCTTCCGCTGCGAGGCCCGCATCCGCATCCTCATCCGCATCCGCATCCGCATCCTGTCTGCAGTGCGGGCTGCACGGTTGGAGGGTTGGAGCAGCTCGTCCTTGCCGCTGTCTTGAGCCAGTGGCAAATCCTTTATGCGATTTGTAATTCATGAGCAGAGCGCACAGATTCTTATCATTTATTTTACTGCGCAATCGGTATCCACGCGGGGCCTCCAGGAGGAGCAGCGGGTAACACGCAGCCCATCGACATCTAGACAAACACTTTCAGCCAATAACTATATTCATGGCGTCGACTGTAGCCGACGATAGCTTAAGACGTGCGGAAACCAAATCGGCGTCGTAGAAAATTGAATTTGTTACGATTTCGCAGCAGCAGGAGTTGGAAATGGCGCTGGAGTCCTGCTCCAGGACCTCCTCGAAACCCAATCCGATTCCCAATCTGATGGGGAGCAAACGTATGTGCATGCCTAATGAGCCATGAAATGCCAGAGCCAGGATCCCTTTTCCCTTTCCCTTTTGCCTGTTCCCTGTTCCCTTTGCCCTGCGCCCCGCGCCTTTTTTCGGTGGGTCATTTCCTGGCGGGTAATCAGCGACAGCTGGCTGCTCGGAGTACACCCTGGTGGGCTGGCGTGGGTCAGGGCCACCCGGTGACCTCGGCCCGACCCACGCCTGTTTAATTAAAGCATGCAGCTGCTGGCGTGTAAATCAAACAAAATCAACTCCTCGCAGGCTCTTAATTAAGTTTACACTCTCGGAATTCGATTTTCCCTTCCATATTTTTGGTTTTTCCCACTGGTCAGCCGCGCACCCAGCAAATTTGGCGGAATCAACAAGGTGAGTCATATGCGACACAAGTATATATGTGACCCTTAAATGTAAATGAATATTAATATTAAATTAGGCGCCACACTAAATATTTATTTATTTAGCTACTCAAGCGTAGCAATTTCCGTACTGGTTGCCTTACTTCCCCAACTTTCCCATTGAAATCCTTCACAAATCTCCGCTCTTGACATTTGCAATCGTCGGTGGTGGTTGGCGTGTGGTTTGTCAGTGTTTATTATCAGGCCAGCGAAAGCAGCTTTCTCCGCCGACTTTCGCCCGAGAAAAGTTCTCGAGTACGAGTACGAGTACATGAGCCTTCAATGCTCGTGTGTGAGTGGCCGTGTGAGTTTTTCCTATTGACTTTTCAGGTCAAAAGGCGGCTGTGCGCTTAATATTTGCATAACTACTTAAAGCAGCCCACACGGCACGGAATGTGGGGTACTTACCATATATCAGAAGGGCTCCAATCGGGTACGCGGTCGCTAGGCATTCGTGTGTTTATCTCTGCGTTAAATTAAAATCACTCATACGCCGTGTAATCATTCCAAATAGGCCCTACACAGTTCGCCTCTGCCGCAAAGTTCAAGGCGCACTTAAAGCGGGGTGTAGGGGGGTGTGGGGGGGTGTGGGGCATAAGCCGCCCAAATGGCCCCCTCCAGAAACCCCACTCATTTGGCCGAGTCACGTAGGGCGGTGAAACAAAAGCAGTTGCAAAGCCGACGACTTGCCAACTACTTTTGAAATGTAATTTTCGCTCTTGCCAACTTGACAAACTGACGCACAGACTGACATTCCGCCAGCCCCTTTGTCATGGGCGTGGGCGTGGGCGTGGGCGTGGGTGTGGGGCTAGGGGGTGTCATTTGGTTTACCCGCTGTCTTCGGCATAATTGAAAGTTTTAACAATTAGCGGGGATCGTCGAGGGTACAAAGTTTATGGCAAAACGACTGCGCCTAATGGTAGGCTATGATTATTGTTTGTGTGACCCTTGAATTGAACTTCGTTTAATTGCAAATGGCTACATTAAGTTGAGGGTCTGCGGCCTAAAATCATGAAAGTTTCGCTTGTTTCACTGGGCATTTTATACCAAAGGGAATTTTGTCTTCCAATTAAATACTATCAAATTAAACTCAATAAATTTCTAGCTCAAGGTTCTTCATGGATATTACTTCGTAAACAATTATAACCACATTATTCCCAAAAAAGCAATCGCATTAATAAAATCATTATTTTTCCGCTTGGCAAAGTCTGCTAATGCCCACATTCATTTCGAATCAAATCGATTTTATTTTCCAGAACACCTGCCGTCTCCACTTGTAATTGTCATTTGATGACAGCTAATTGAATTGCCCCAATTGGATGGCCCCAAGGCGGCTGGAATATTTTTAGGGACCTTGCTGGTCCTTCGTCTTGGCCCTGTCATCATTATCGCTGCCATTATGCGTGTGGGCGGCGGGTTCTGTTGGTCAGTCCTCGTTCCTGCTCCCCAACTGCACTGTACATAAATCAATGACAATCAAAATTCATTTCTTTGCCCTGATTTATTGCTTTTGTTTGATTTTGTGGGGCGGTGTGTGGGCTGCGATGCTCTGCCTTATCAGCAATGCATATTAATGTGAGTTATGTGTGTTCGTTGAAAAAGAAAAGAAACAGAACAGAACAAAACAAAACTAAGCTCAGCTCAGCTCAGCTTCCTTTCTCCCATTGCCCCGCACAAATATTAAGTATACGCAGGGAGCAACGGCATGTGCACGCCCTCTTCAGCTGAATAACAACCTTTTCTCCGTTTTTATTTCAGAGTTTTTGCTACTTTTTGGGTCGGTCGGTTTATACCCAAATCCACGCCCCGCACTGCTGCCAAATCATCAATCAAACGCGTGTGATTTGCTACAGTTCAAATTTCGCTCTCAGTTCAATCGTTCAGCCATTCAAGCAGAAATACAAATATTTGCTTTTTTCCAAAGTACAAAAGCAGCCCGAAGGAAGCGGAGTGGGGGGCACTGGGAGAAAAGTCAGTAGGTCAGGATTATCAATCGCAATGTTACTTCACATATTTGAAAGTAATATTTATTGATTAAGTACTAGTTGTATAGGTAAAATAAGCTTGATTTCATTTATGAATAGGTTCGTTTTTGCAGATAGCATTTTTCCTTTATTTTTACTAGTGTAATATGGGGCGGTGGGAAGGCAAAGGACTTAGTCTGACTGACAAGGCTTAAAAATCGAGGCCTCTTCTTCAGCTTTTCCCGTCAAGAGGCGGTAAAAAAGGGTAAGCCACTCTTCGCTCACAGGTAGCAGCTGCTACTCCTGCCCGCTTTTCCCAGTCCAGCTGAGCAGCGCCCCAGCTTTTCCATTTTCCGACTGCCTAATCTCCTGTGTGATGGGCTGGCAACCTGTTACATGATGCCCCGCCCAACCTTTCCGCTTTTGCGAGCCGAGGCCAACAAATGGCCTCCGTAATAAGGCGCTGTGAAATTATTTAGAAAATTCAGCTAGCCAAGGGCAGCACCTTTTGGGGGCTTTGGATGGGATTGGCTGGGCTGGGGGCACAAAGTAAAATGGAATTTGTTTTCATCTCGTAGAAAAAGTTTTGTGGCTGCAAAGTGGCAAGACCAAGAAAGCTTAAAAGGTTTAGCTGCTTAATATAATCTCCCAAATCATTTTCGGTTTACCCTAGCAGCGTTTATTCACTGTGCTGTGAAAAATTGAAAAACAGCACTTTGAAATACTTATGAAAAAGTTTTTAGACAAATTTAAAGGTAACTTCGGACGAGCTCTATAATCCTTTATTCAAAATATAAATACGTCATAAACAATACGAATTTAATAGTTCTCATAGCCACGCCATCCAAAGCCCCCACTGTGCGACCCACAATTAACTTTAGTTTCACTCCAAGCCGAAAACCGAGCTCCGTGGCACTTGAGCAGTTTCCGGCAGGAGCCCTAAGAAGCCAACTGGAATTGCAGGGCTTTTTGAATTGTTGCCAAAAACAATTTATGGCAGCACACTGTGTCGTTCTGAATTTTGCGCACAATTGGGAATTGTGCAATTGCATTTTGGGCGGCGGAAGACGACGAGATAAGGGGAAATGGTTGTCCCAGCTGCCGCTTAAGTTTTGCATATTTATTCGATAACGGAATAAGCGGCAGTTTAATTGTAAATAAGATGTGCAGCAGCTGGCGCTGCCACAATAATTAAAAACAATACGCCAGGAAATTATGCTTAAATGTTTAATGTGCCGCGCTGGCAGGGAAGATGTCCTGCAGGACAACGGAAGGAAGCGCGCCAAGACGAGACTAGCAGACGCATAAATCTTGAAAGTGCTCACTTGGCTTCATTGCAACTGCTTTTCCTAGCTTGCACTGAGAGAAATAGGCCGGCTCAAGCTAGTTCGCTTCATAAAGATTAGCCAGCTCCTTGCCAACATGCCACCATATACATTAAATATATTCGAAATACCTATACCTAATGCCCAGCAAACGTCAAAATTTCAATCCCTAACAATTTGCTTATTATTAGAATTTTTTCCTTGTGCAGCTTCTTTCGCTGCCGCAGTCTCGAGTGCATTTGCTAATGACAAAGTCAAACAGGCGACAATGGTTAGCGTCTCGCTTATTGTGCCGCATCCTGAGTCCTGCATCCTGAGTCCTGTGTCCTGCGTCCTGCGTCCTTGAGTGGCCACCAGCCGCCGCTGGCGATTGTCGTGTAGTGCGGTGGCAAGTGTTGAAGGCATGTTAATTGCTAACCGTAACACCAGCAACAACGGCAACTGTGCCACAACTGAAACTTCGCGCCAGCTTGACAAACAAAAAATAAGGTAGCAAGGGGCAAGGTGTGGGCCTTTTGCTCCACTTTTACGCCAAACATTAAAGCCAAAGCACAAAGTGGTGGACAGCACTGAGGAAAATTATCCCTTCTTGAGGACCAGTAAATAACTCCTTATTTAATACATAAAAGTCCAATTGCAGAGAAACGAATAAGTAGATTTAAAATAGAGAGCCATAGAATTTGATGTGGACCTTCTTAATGTCGTTAGCCATCCAAGTGGATTCGATCAAATAATCTCCTTCAGGAAAAGGCAGCACTTCTGTCAGCTGGTAGTTCACAACATCGACAGGAAGCTTTTCCAATCGCAGATCGTGCTGTGGAGTTAGGATATAGTTCGGCATTAGCTTCATTATTATGGAATAGGGATACTCACATTGTAGGGACACGAGTGATTCAAATTGGAGTAGTTTACAGCAATACCATACCAAAAGTTAACGAATGGACTCGAACTGGGATTTTTCAAGAACCGGCAGAAGTCCACTGTGCCATTGTACATAAAGGGCCTGTAGCCACTGAATCGCTTGAATAGCGCTACATTCACCTGAAGTGCAAGCAATGTAGTCGTAAGATACCTAGTGAAGTGGTACTTACTTTTATTTTAGTCACTGGAGTTTTGAGCATGTTGCACTTAACCGATAGGTACTTATAGCTCCGATTTACCGACTTCAGGTAGCAATATTCAAAGTCGCTAAACTCCTTGTCAAAACTTGTGCACTTGACATTGGTGAACTCGAATCTGGAAGCTATCTGCAAATTTATTTTACCAATTGTTCAATACGTAAGATTTTTTGCACTAACCTCAGCTACTAAATACAATACAATGATTTGCTGAAGAATTAAGCACTTTACGTCAGACATTTTAAGCCATCTAAAGCCAACTGAACATAGTTCAAATGATGCATAGTTTTAGATGACCGCTTCCGCAATTGGGTTTTCCAGCCCAATTGAATTATAATAGGTAAGGTAATTAGATTAAAATCTGAAATTCAATTCAATTCTTCGTATTGCAGTACATTTTGCTGGTCATTAAAGCACGTGGTTGTATATGGAAACTCACTTTCACCCTGCTCACTTTCTCCTAGATCCATTTTCCCTAACTAGGCCTTTAACGCTCTCGGAAGTATTTGTCGTGATATTTATCGCATAGGCCATTTCTCTTCGGGCGGAAAATTGTGAAAATTTAATTGAAAACACAGCCGGGCTTTGTGCCAAGTGGCCTACATGTACTCAATTCCTGTGAAAAAGAGCGCAGCTAGGGAAAATTGAGGGGGTCGTCGCTATCTCATCAAATATTAAAGTACATTTTTTGCATAATGTTATTGATTTGGCAACAGCTGGCACAATCTGTTGGGAATATTAAGCAAATAAACATGATATGTTTAAAAATGGGTCATGGCTGACTCAAATTAATATTTTTATATGAACAATCAGCACTACACTCTCTTGGAAAATAATGGGATTTATTTTAATTACTTAAAATGCTTCAAAAGTTTTCCAACGTAAAGGGAACATATATGTGTAATCAGAAAATTATTTGTTGAGTACGAAAATAATAAATTTTTACCTTCTGTTTTGAGCTGCAACTGAAATTTTATTTTGCCGAACATATCTGGATGATAAATTAAATTTGCAGTTTTTCTAAAAGGTTTTTGGGCCCGTTTTTGTGTGCTCTTTTACTCACTCTTGTTTATGGACTCTTGCCGTGTTTATTCCATTTCAATTTTTATTTTACACTTTCGCGCCGCATCGCCACTCTCTTTGGTGTAAATTTTTTATAACCCAACTGGAGTTGCATTTGAAAATCAGAGCTGAAATGTATCAAATAATGAATTCTACGGGTGAAATTAAATGGAGCGGCAAAGTCCATGAAAAAATCTATTAAAAGCCCAAAGTGGCTGCGCCCGACTCATTTTATACCAGCTTTAAGGCATATAACTTTTTAATTAAAAAGAAGAGTCGGCAAAAAACGAGTCTCGTAAAAATCTCGAGCACATAATCCTTTTTAAGCGGCAGCAGAAGGGCAAATACAAAATCACGTACATTTCTGCGTCCGCAAATTAATTTGTTTACTTAGGCTGCTGCTTCTGCGGCTGAATATATTTGCTGACAGTTTCGCAAAAGGCTTTTCAACCCTTTTCAAGGTGTATAAAAATGTGATGTTTTTCTGGGCTGGGATATAAAATACAATCGCTTGCGATAACTTGCATAAGAAATCGAAAAATAAATTTATGCTAAAATATAAAAAGGCTGCAGACATATTTTAAAAATGCTGCTACTTTGTGAAGATAAATAAAACAAGATTGAATGCTATAGTCGAGTTCCACGACTATCAGATACCCGCTAGTAAAAGTGCAATCACATCAAAAAAATTACATAAAAATTAAAAAGAAACAATATAGAATGCTATAGTCGAGTTCCCCGATTATCAGATACCCGTTACTCAGCTAGTGGAAGTGCTAACGAGACTTTTCATAAAATTCTGGAATTTTGGTAAAAATTGCGAAAAAAGTTAAGAAATTAAAATAAAGTGTTTAAAAGTGTGGGCGTGACAGTTGGCTCACCATATATGAAGATAAAACAATAAAAGGTCGAGCTTAAACACCACTGTTAAATTTAGGCATTTTTGTAGCATACTTTTGGGGCGCCCGCCCGTAATGCTGAGGCTAAGCATAAAACCATTTACAAGCACTTAGTTTGCATATAACCTCAGCACAAATGGACGAGGCAGGGCGGGGGTGTGGCAAGTTGGGGGGGGGACGCATTTGCATGTGAAATATGCATGAGTTGCCCATCTCCCATCTGTCTGTGTGTGCAAATAAACATAAATGTGGGGGAAAAAACGCTGAAATTGCAAATGACAAGTTTTGCACTAAGCAGCAGCGCAAATACACAGCGGACAGTGGGGTGGGATTGGGCGGGAAAAGTGGAAAGCGGTGGAAAGCGGGAAAATGCTGAGGGTACTGGCTTGTTACATTGACACACTTACTGCATGATGAAGCAAAATGAGTGACAAACTGACTGCGCGATGTTGTAAGCTGCTTATTAGGCAAGGCGAAGATGAGGATTGCACCACGCTGCGACCCAAAAAACAACAACAGTGCTCCAAAAACATACACATAGATGGCTATGTGTATGTGCACATACAAGTATAAATGAGCCTGCAAAAGCGGCCAACTTAAAGTAAATAAATGGGTTACTTTCGCTGGGGCCGCCCTCTTTCGAGACCCAAATCAATGTCAACGAGTGCTCCCCTTTGGGATCCCTCCTCTGCTCGGTGAAAAATGAACAACAAAATGGTTTGTCAATTCGAAAATATCTGCTGCCTTAAAGCATTGCACCAGAAATGAGTCAGATTAAGTTATATAGATGTATCTATAGATCCCTAATTCGAATTTTAATGGCAATCTGTGCAATCACATTTTCCTTTACACTCACATTTTATTTAAACTTATGATAAACGTATTTCTAATACCCATTGAGATGCTAGGTCAAAAGCTAACATATTTTTTTCAGTGCACGATTCCACCAGCACGTACCTTTTCGTGATGAAGTTGCCTGAGCTGGGAGTTAAAAAACAGGAGATGGGATGCCTTTGAGACTGAGTTAAAAGCCGAAAAACTTGGCGCACGCAAAAGGTTTAGACGCACCGCCGAGATTGCTTTTGGCCAGGGAAAACAAAACTTTCTACATTGCTTCAATAAATAACAAAACGGCACGCAAAGCAACTTTAAAGAAGAATCGTTGGCAGTTGCTGAACAAATCTGGAGTGATATTTATTAAAAAAAAATGTTTTTGGTTTTAAATTAATTAGAACCAAGTTTGATTTTCTCTTTACTTTTAATTAGGTTCAATAAAGGATTTAAAGAGCATGTAACAATTGAAAGCAATGAAAGCTCTGGAGAATGCACTACAATTTGCACAAAGGCCTTTCATTAGGAGCAAATAAAAAAGAAAACACTCGCTTTGCTCGCTGACATGAAAATGTGAGCGCTGTGTTCCATTAATTTGCCAACAACAATAGGAAAAGCAGGAAAAAGGGCATCGGGACCAAGAACTCACTGATTTTCATGCCTGCCTGCAGCCATTATTGCTGTTATCCTTATCCAAGATGCTGTTCCTTTGACGGATTTATCAAGCATGGCTTTCTAAGCACTCTGAACACGTGACGCCAAATATTACTCATACGCAGCGTATGACGAGAGGAACTCCTACCGCGACTGTTCAGCCTTTTGTACGATTGCTTTTGTAACACAGCTATACTGCTAGAGGCAATCAACATTTTTTAAATATAAGGGCTCTTTAAGGTTACTAAATGTACTCAAATATTCCTGGCAACTTTATTTTCGGTAGCTTCTACTGGAGTGAACAACCTAATACTTCACGTCTTGCGTGAATGGGGGCAAAAGTGCATTTTGACATCTTCATGCGCTTCGGTGATCTCGAACCGAAAAAGTTAATGGAAACGCATTTTCGATGCGGGTCTGTAAGGGCATGTGTGTGTGTGGGTGGGTGTGTAAGGATTTGTAGCTCTATTTTGCAGGCGCCTGTCAGTGGAACAAAAGGATTCGGCTTTCAGCTTCAAGTGTTCGATAGCTTTGTACAGGTGAGTGCGCCGCATAAGGGGATAACTCACGTTCGGTTTACTTTTACCGCCTGCTTTATTCAGGCCAGCTGGCATTGTTTTCCCGGCTAATTGGTAGAACTCCAGCCGATATCGATTTTGGATATGGCCCGAAATCGCTTGCATTCTTTTTAGTTCTGCTATTGCCTTTGTAATATCTACAGCTGCTGCATCTGGCAAATATGTATGCCGCATGCCGGACTCGGCTGGGGTTTTGCATTTTGAATTTCGGCATTTTTTGTTCCAGCCTTTGCCTATTTCAGCACACAAGGGCCTTCTGTGCAGTTCAAAGCCCCGAATTTAATTAAAATTTTGGTTTATGCCCTTGCAACGGAATCGTTGGCAGTGATATGGGAACTAAAATAAATCAATCAAATAAATTGAAAAAGTATAATGCAAAACCTAAGGGAATATGTTATGTATGTTATACTCCTTAATGTATCTTAACTGATTGTAGAACGGCCTTAAAAGTAAGAATCAATTGATTACACCAACTTCCTGTATATCGGTTAACTTTTCGGGCTTTTATTCGCCGAGGCCGTAATCACTTGGTAATTGCTCCCGTGTGGGCACAGGTGTACTTCAGGTGTCGCGATGTTGCACATTAATTTCGACTTATGGAATCTCTTTCATATTTAACTCTCTCCCGGGGGTGGAAATGCCACGCCTCCGGGGCGTGAAAATGTTACACATTAAAACCTTTTTTTGTGTTGTGCTTCAAAAGTCGTAAAACCGAGTTTTATGAATGCGATTAAGCCCGTGAACTGCAGAAGAGCATATTTCTCCTTCGCCGAACTGGCTTCCCCAGCCCACCTCCATCCATTTAACTGTCTCATTTTGCCGGCTTGGGTCGTCCTACTTTGCTGTTGTGCCCGGAATTTGTCATTTTTAATGACTGTGAAAAGAATGCGTTCGTAATTACATGGCAGGAACGAAAAACTTTCAGCTACGTATTTATGTGTGTGTCGGTCTGGCATTCCTCTGTATCATACATTATTTTACTTATTATACTCTTTTGGATTATGGGGCGTGTTTCTGGGCTATTCTGTGCAGATAAGTAAACGGAAAGTACAAAGAAATACATTTTATCGGGAGTTTGTGTTGTTCTCCA